CCACCACATAACATTGATGAACCTTGAGGACATTATGCTGAGTGAAATTTTTCAGTCTCAAAAGGAGAACTATTGCATAGGACCATTATCGTAAAAGGTTAAGAAAAGGTACCCACACTAAAAGGGAAAAAAACATTTTTGTTGTTGTTGGTTACCAGGGTGCAGGGGGTGCAGCAAGGGGAGGGAGGGGAAGGTGGCGCACAGGGTAGGGAATAGACACAAGAGAGTTTGGTTACTTGGTAAGGGCAATACACAACAAGGGGGAGGGGACTGGAAGAACAAGGTAGATGGGAGAACAATTAGCCAGGTTTGCATGGGCTAAGTGGGACAGAGGTGAATAGCGGTGTATGCTCAACCTTTTAACAACCGGGCTCTGGGATTCAGGGATTGAGGCATGGTTTGAATGGGTGTTGTTGCTGAGTACCATGAAGTCGGTTCCAACTCATAATGACCCTGCACAGGGTTTCCAAGGCTGTAAATCTTTACAGAAATAGAACGCCTCATCTTTCTCCTGCGGAACCACTGTTAGTTTCGAACTGCTGACCTTGAGGTTGGCAGCCCGATTTGTAACCACTATGCTACCCGAGAATGGGTAAAAGAAGGGGGGTAATGTTAAGATGCTTAGCTGTCTTTTGAATCTTGGTTAACCTTGCCTACTATTGTAAAATAGACACTTGAGGCGGAGAGAAAAGAATAGCCAGAAACATCACCATAGAAAGCTTATAAGTCTGTCTTCAGCCTATAACTGATTGGGATACCTAAAATGGGGCTAGAACTTTCCCATTGAACAAGCCTTCCTTTGGAGGCTTTGCATTGCATAAGCCTGTAGGTGGAATCCTGATCCATATCCAAAATCTTCTGAGGTTGGAAATGTCCACTTTAAAGGACAAGAGACCATCCTGGAGTGGCTAGAAGAACAGAAGATACTTCTTGAAAGACAGATCAGCAAGAAATATCAAAACAATAATGGCAGTCCTTGACTACTACAAGGACAAGCAAGTTGTTCACCGGGGAGCCATCAAGGCAAGAGGAAGGGGGTGTATCCCTTCAGGACAAACCCCCTTCCAAGACTAAGACTCAAGGGGAATACACGAGCAGGCATGTGGTCTTGCTAGTGACCTCATTGTTCTACTGATAAGGAGAAGTGGGGAAAAAGCAGCAATGAAGTTGTGAGATAAATCCAACCACATTCAATAGACTCCTTTCAACTTGGATTGAGACCTGATTGGCCAGCAATATAGCAAGACCTTTGTACTCCTGAGCCCAGGAACAGGGACATAGCCACAGAGGACTAGAGTGGAGAGTGAAGCATCCAGCTGAGGGGAGATGCACAAAAACACCCCTTCTTGCAGATAGTACCCATTTGACCTAGCTTCAATGGCTGGGCGATCAGCACTTGACTAGAGGAAGAAAGAAGAGGAATGAAAGAGTAATCCACTAAAAGTTGATGAACTTGACCTAAACTTATGGATGTAGTAGCTAAAAAAGAGGGAACACATATTTACAGCGAGGATCATTCCCACCCCCTCAGTACACAGGGTTGACAGGGATAGGCAACATAGACATTGGCTACCCAAAATTGAGGGACTACAAAGGCATGAAGTGACTGGCTTACAAGCTTTCAAGAGGGAGCTTAGTTTCAGAGGGTGCAGGGAAAGGTAGACTTTCCACTGGTGGTTTCCAACCTGGCTAGATGGGGCTGGTGAAAGGAGATGTGGATAAGACTTGTGGTTCAATAGTGAATAATTCTATCAGAATTTATTGCAGTTGTCACAAATGTTAAAGATAGATGTTTTGTAACAAAAGGAGGAGAGTGGTTGATCTTGCAGTCCAGAAGCAGAGGACCCTGGGACCATCAAGAAAAAAGAGTGGAGTGTGGAAACTTAACTAGAGAAGCAATGATGCCAGAGATGGAGGCAAAGACGTGGAGAGATGGAGCAGCTGGGTACTCTGGACTCAATGATGGAGAGGGGCTGTTGGCTGATGGCCAGGGGACAAGTTTGCAGGGTATACCCTTTGGTTTGAATGGTTATAAATTCCTGAGTGCCTTGGTGTACATCCAAAAAACAGAAGGAATGGAAGCAAATGCTGTTGAATGATGATGCATGAAGTGGATGGTAATCATTGTAATGAAACGAAATGTGATATGATGAATGTAAACCTGATGTTCTCCCTTATAAGTTATTACTCAATTCACAATAAAATTTAAAAAGAAAAAAGCCCAGCCCACAAAAAACAAAACAAAACCATAGCAGACTGTCCAGTAGCCTTTGCTGTGCAGGTCAATGTGCATGCCTAGTAGAATGTGCAGGTCAATGTGCATGCCCAGTGGTGGGTGAGGGTATCCACTCATGTAGCCCCCCCCCCCATAATCACTGCTGTGGAAGTTCACACATAGACATTGAGAAATGAATGAAAATAAGACTGTTCCCAATTTTTATCTCTGAAAGTCAGTTAGGTATCTGTGTATGCACAGCATATTTCTCGAAATGATTGTATCCTTGTATATAGTGGTTGGTTTTGGCTCTTGCCTTTTATGTTGGTGTTTTACAAGTTGCAGATATGGTTTGTCTGTATGACCAGACCTGCTGTCTTTTGTTAGTTAAGTCAGAAATAAAGGCTCCTGCCCAAGTAGTAGAGTCAACTTTAGGGTTAAATCCCAGAGTCAGAAGTTAGTAGAAGCCATCAAAGGATTAGTTGGAACCTCTGGGGCTTTCAGGGATTTCCTCTTTGTGCTGTAGGAAAGTTGTACCCTGTGTGAGTGAAACACTGGACCTTCTTTGAGGTGCCAACCACACTATTATTGCCATACTTCAGTCCACCAATGTTGCCACTTGGCCAATCCATCTTGTTGGGGGTCTTCTTCTTCTTTTTCTCTCACCCTCCTCCTTACCAAACATGATATCCTTCTCCAGTGACTGGTCCCTCCTGACAATATGTCCGAAGTATGAGAGACAA